AAGGGTTATAGGCTACACTGGGATGTTTCCAACGAAATGTCGGCCTAAAGCCTGGGCCCGCCTTCTAAACGAAATAACAGTTTGAGGTACACCAGAGCGATAGATCGAACATGTGTACGGGCAGCCAAGAGAGCCTCAAACTCCGGTATAAGATGATGCACCCAGAGGCCCACAGAAAGCAGATATTGACTGGGTCTTCAATCCACTCAGCTGCCCCAGGTACATGGGGAGTATGGAAAAGGTATGATTCTTCGCAATGGTAGCAACAGGCTGGGCTGTTCTGCAGGCGATTGTGGGCTCACACTCTTTTAGACTATGAAACCGCCTGCAAACACTGTTCTATGAAGTGGAAGCCACAAGAACAGGGAGGCTAATCACCCGGTTCCAAACACTCCAAATGAACCAAAGGCTCTCACCCCCGGCTGATCTGTACCCTAAGTCAACAGGCACTTTAGGTAGCCACCAGTTAACGGGCTCACAGAAGGTACCATGTCCAGGCACCTTGCAGATCAATTTTGAAGCCGCTGGCTGACGGAGTACCTCCTCAACTCCAGAACTTGACAAGTGCATTTCAGACCACGGGCGAATAATCTCGCCCATGACCGAATCATAGCAAAGAATCACGAATAAAATTGCCGAAGTGATGGAAGTCGGGAAGGCAGGCGAGGGCGTGGACTGGTCCGACAGGCAGTGGTTAAGACTTTAATTTTACGCCCGGCCAGCCACGCGTCTGTACAAAACAGCCGCCAGAGGAGCAATGGAAAGGGGTTGACGGAGTCGGCCAGGAGACTGAATTGGGCACCAAACACATGAAGATGAAGGATGTCCACATCAAAGGACCGAGATGTCCTGGCGAGCCGATAAGTACCACAAGCCTTAGAGGGCAGCTTAGTCACAAGAATGCATAAAAAGTTAAACACCACCTCAGCCTAAGGGAGCAGAAGTCTATATAGAACGGACAAAACTAAAGTTAAATACCACCAGCCTGAGGGCAGCTTAGCCAAAATATCGTGACAAAGTTAAATACCACCAGCTTGAGGGTAAGCATAGTCAATGAGAACGTGACAAAATTAGGTGCAATAACACCAGCCTGATAAGCAGCTTAGTCAGCTGCTGAACGACAAAGTTACCCAACAAAGCCTGATGTAGTACAACAGAACGGAATAAAAATTGGGTTAAATACCACCAGCCTGAGGGGCAGCTTAGTCACGAGAACGTGACAAAATTAAGTTAAATACCTCACCAGCCTGAGGTGTTTAAATTACAAAACCAAGTTAATACCCAGCTTTAAAGGCAATAATGAACGTGACAGTTAATACCACACCAGCTCTGAGGCAGCCTTTAAACAGAACATGTGACAAAGTTAAATATCACCGTACTGAGGGCAAGTATAGCTCACAAGAACGCGGACAAAATTAAAAGTTAAATACCACCAGGCCTGAGGGCAATTTGAATACAAAAGACGGACAAAGTTAAATACCACTGGAAGCCTGAGGGTAGAGAGGCACATGAATGTGACAAAATTAAGTATCAAAAGGCTCAATCTGGTTTTGATGTGAACGCCAATCCGACTGTGTTAATAGTTTCTGCATAATTATGATGACACATAAACAGCCCAAAGAAATAAGCTGTAACTCATGTCACAAGTTTATTAAAGGCCTATATACAGGTATAGAAGTAGTGTTGAGATGGAGGCAAATGAGAGACCTAGTAGGTTCAGGTGTGTTGGGCAGAGTTTCACAGCATACAGTAACCTAGTTAATGTTGAATCATGAAAGTTACCTCCCATAAGATTCTCCCAATTCGTTAACGAGCAACCCTCGTTAAATTGTTTTACGAGCCGACTCAAACAAATGGCACAACCAGCCAGTATTAGTTCGCCACACTAATCGGTTCTTGGGGCTTAAATTCTTTACTATTTTAAATATATCAAGAAGTTTAGCAATTATTCAATAATTTTAAAAGTTTAATATTAAATTTTTAGCTATTAACAATTACTGAACATAATTGAAGGCAAAGGGATTATTTACACAGCAAGCGGCACCGTTCTCCTGCAATACAGCAAAACAAGCGCAGTCTCTCTCTGTTTTCACTGGAGGTAACATCATGCCGAGACTCTTCAACTAAACGTTTAAAGTTTCGCTAAAATTATTGGTCATTTTGGAATTTATTTTTTATATTAGCTGGGATAATATATAGCTGAGCAGTATGCAAGTTATTTTAAAGAAAGTAAATATTCTATATGTCAAGTTTAACTTAAAGTATCGGTTAATATTATTTAGAATCAGTATAGTCAGAGATCAAGAAAAGTGATCTCAATCCAAGCCAAGCAGTAAATCATAAAAAAACATGAACAAGGCATTAGAACAAATGGGCTATGCAAAGAATTTGGCATGTCGACATCAACTGTGTCGACAATTCTTGCACAGAAAGACAAATTTAAAGAAGTGAAAGTGAGAGACAAATCTACAAGAGTGTTTAAAAGTAGATCCCTAATTGCAGAAGCTGAGAGGTTACTTATCATCTGGATTAGGGAAAAACAGATGAAAGGTGATTCAGTTTCTACTGAATTCATTTGGGAAAAAGCCAGGGAGATTTACGAACATTTAAAGACAGATCAACCTGGTTCTTCAGGCACAGAATTTGAAGATTTTCGGGCCAGCAAAGGCTGGTTCGAAAAATTTAAGAAAAGAAGTGACATTTTCAGTGTTGTTAGGCATGGTGAAGCTGCTAGTGCTGATAAGGAAGGGGCAGCAAAGTTTTAGATGAATTTAAAAAACTGATGGAAGAAAAAAATTATCTTCCACAGCAAGTGTTCAATGTGGACGAAACTGGGCTGTTCTGGAAAAAGATGCCCAAAAGAACATTCATCACCAGAGATGAAGCCTCTTTACCTGGGCATAAACCCATGAAAGACCGTCTCACTCTATTGCTTGGTGTCAATTCTTCAGGGGATTTCCGACTGAAGCCTATGCTTGTCTACCACTCTGAAAACCCCAGGGTGTTCAAGCAACAGAGAGTGGTAAGAACAAAGCTTGGAGTTTATTGGAAGTCCAACCGTAAGGCATGGGTGACAAGACAGCTCTTTAATGAATGGGCTGTTGATGTGTTTTGCCCTTCTGTCAAGGGCTACCTAACCACCAATAAACTCCCTTTAAAGGCTCTTCTCCTCATGGATAATGCTCCTGGTCATGACCCTGACCTTGCCAGAAATTTGGAGTATCAATTTGACTTTGTGAAAGTGTTGTTTTTGCCTCCAAACACTACATCAATCATACAGCCAATGGACCAGAATGTGATCAGCAACTTCAAGAAGTTTTACATGAAGAAAATGTTTAGGAGGTGTCATCAGGCAACTTCCAATGATCCTGAACTAACACTGAAACATTTCTGGAAGACACAATTCAACATCCTGGAGGCTGTAAAATTGATTGTGTCATCATGGCAAGAAGTCTCCACTAGATCCCTCAATTCTTCATGGAAAGCACTGTGGCCATCAGTAGTCCATGATTTTGAGGGATTTGAGGAAGAAACAGAGTTGGACCAGGAGAGTGTGTCCATTGGTCAGTCATTGGGCCTTGAAGTGGAGGAGGAGGATGTGGAAGAGCTTGTGATGTCTCATGAGGAGGAACTTACTCCTAATGACTTGAAGCAACTGGATGAGATGTTACAGGTTGAGGCTGACAGTGGTGAGGAGGAAATTGAAAGTGATGACCATATGTCAGCTAAACAGTTGAAAGATGTGATTTACCACTGGGAGAAGTTCTGGGAACTGGCTTCAAAGCACCCAGAAGTGGAAAAAACTGAACTAACTTTGTGTCATGTTGAGGACTCAGTGGTCTCCTTCTTTAAACATAAGTTAATGGTGAGGAGGACAGATGCCCCAGACCACAATTGACACTTTCTTCAGTAAAAGGCAGAGGGAACAAGATGCTATACCTCAGCCTTCCACTTCAAGAAGGAGAGAGGATGTTCATGGTGGAGAATCTGTCAATCCAGAGGTTCCTGACATTTTCATGGAAGGTGACTCACCTTCCAAGAAGCAGTAAAATGCTTCTCCTTCACCTCCACTTCCTTCTCTTCTCCCTTCTCCTCCTCCACCTCCCACTTCAAATTCACATCATCATCATCATCATCATCATCCAGGAGCCTTCTACATACACACCTCAAAGTAAGTGAACTTTTCTACCTTTTTTATTGAATTTAGGCAATTTTCGGTGAGCTGGAACCAATTACTCAAAAACCCACTGAAACAATGGTTTCGGTTAATGAGATTTTCGGTTAACGAGCAATCTGCTGGAACGGATTGTGCTCGTTAACCGAGGGACCACTGTAATACGCCTGACACAGTGAGTTTGAAGTGGCCAACTTGATCATATGGTGCCCAGCCGGGCACTGCCAGCCTCACTTTAGCTATCGCCATCACACCACCAACACCTAACCTGTTTCTCCTGAAGACTTTCAATACGTAAGTTTAACTTGTATTTACTGTGAACACAGGTAGACTGGGTCCATTGCTTCGTTTATCATTGTGACGACATAAAAATATGGAAACTGAAGTACTCATTATAAGTGTTAGGATTAGACTGATTACATAGCTATGATTGTTATGTAAATATATATTGGATTAGACATTTATGTGATTACCTATGTATGATTTATGTGAAATACTAAAAGGAATTGTATCCAACAGGTATGACCGAATTATAATGTTCGAGTACTACGTGAAGTCTAAATATCCTTAACCGCCTGACTGGCGGTTACAATAATAATTATAATAATAAAAAAATTCACCCTTTAGCCACGTTCTTCCATATTCACATTTCACAGACATCCAGTACCCTATTAACATTAACAATGATAATGGATGTCATAAAATTCATGCAATGTTGCTAAAAATGATACTCAAGTAATTTTCATTCCTACAACTCTCGATATTCCATTTTATCATAAGCATGTAATTCCTAGAAGCTAGAGTTTTATATCAACCACAAACTCACCTGTGACATGGATGATGCATGAAGAATAGAAACTTGCTCATGAAGAACAATCCTCTGAATCAGTGGTTTTGGTCCTGTCACATAACCAACTCTCAAGCCAGAGCTCAAAACTTTAGAAAAAGAGTCAAACCTCAACACTCGTCCATCAACGTCCATGCTGAGAAAGCTTGGGGGAAAGTCCTGCAACACATTACCCAAATGTCATCAACACAATTATAAAAAGGAAATGGGTATAAGCATGCATACATACATACAGTAAGTATACAGTAACTGTACAACTTGGCATGTTCTACAACTCTCATCCTTAATAGATTAAGCAGTAGTACACTTGCCTCTCAAAAGTGGGTTCAATTCCTACTTGGGTTAGATGTGAGGAGGGTATCATCCAGTGAGCCTATTGAACATCACAGGGTTTCTTTTGGTCCTCCAATTTCCTCCTATATTAACATTATATCCATAAAGATAAAGATTGTAAAATTTCAAAATACGAGACATTTACAAATATGTATGATGCACATGCCGCCATTAGATGTGACTGCTCGCCTCAGTGTAAACAAGTACAGGTTGTACCTCTCTAGTCCGGCATTCTGTGGTCAGGAAACTCCCATGGTCCGGAACGATTTTAGTTTGTCCAATAGGCAGCTTTTTTTTTTTTTTACTTATTTGAATTATTATTATTATTATTACAGGAGTATTACATTTTTGCCCCTCAGGCCCCAATGTGGGTCAGTGACCTATGCCCGGGTGGGCTAATCCCTGTAAAAAAACAACAACAACAAAGCCGCGGGAAATTAAGGTTTGTTTACATCCGGCAGTTCGGCTGCTCTCTCTCTCTCTCTCTCTCTCTCTCTGTTTGTCTATACAGAGCACAACATTTAACCCTTCAATATATATGAGCAGTAGATAAGTGTTGCTTTCATATTCTTATGTAGAGTAATGGCGATATGTTTTCACATGTGCGCACTTACATAAGCGCAGTCTCACTTTTTTTTTTACCATTAATGGTTAGCTACTTATATTGTTCCATTTATTAACATTACAGGTACTTCAAACAACCATATTAATTTTTTTACATTAATTTTACTCCAGCTACAATGAGGGTCTTGTTTTCTTCAGTTTTATATGTAGAACCAATCAGTCACTGGTTTTGTAAGCTTTAACAAAAACAATGCCGGCAGCTGTCTCGTCTCCTCGTGTGTTTTAATATTCCACGTATTATTAATAAATTGTATTGTTAATTTTGCACACACAAACATTAATTCAATAAAAACAAATTCAGAAACATTAATTAAAATATATATATATATGAACAGTAAATAAGTGTTGCTTTCATATTCTTATGTAAAGTAATGACGATATGTTTTCACGTGGGCGCACTTACATACGTGATCTCTCTTTTTTTCTTTACCATTATCGTTAGCTACTTCTATTGTTCCATTTATTAACATTAAATAACATTACTTAAAACAACAATATTAATTTTACTACAGCTACAACCAGGGTCTTATTTTCTTCAGTTTTATATGTACAACCAGTCAGTCACTGGTTTTGTAATCAACGAAAACAATGCTGTCTCAGTTCCTCGTGTTTTAATATTCTACGTATTATTAATGAATTGTATTGCTCATTTTGCACACACACACATAAATTCAATCAAAAAGACTTTCAGTAATAAACAATAATGATTCTTTTGTACATCAGAGAAATGATGCTGTTTACAGGATTGTGCACTTCGTCTGAACGTTGGTGGGCCGTTCAAACCCGTCAAAATTCGAGTTCCCGCCGTCAAAATTTTTAAATGTGTCCAAATAGAAAAAGTCGAATTGAAAACTCGCGAAATATGAGAAGCTACTATACGACATTTAACCCTTCAATATGTCTACAAAGAGACCATGAAGCAGAGAAAGTGGTGCTAGTGCTTCCAAGCATAAGCACAAGTCACTATCTATCCAGGAAAAGGGTAAATTTCCATGGTCCAGCACCGGTCAGATCCCGAGGTTGCCGGACTAGAGGGGTACAACCTGTACTGTATACACATGTCAGTCAGTTCACATGGGTTACACGTGGAGTGCACGTCTACAGTCTACCGGGCAAGCTTTATCCACATGTATCCTCAATAATCGCAGGACCAGGTAAGTTGACCTGGCTTATCAGGGTATCTTCAATTGCGACCATGTGCACACTTATCACCGATTGAACTGGTTTACCGCAGATGTATCACGGCATAGTGGCGGGTCTGCAAGAGCAACAGCGGTTGCAGCGACTGCCAAGAGATGGCAGTACAGCTCGTGGGGCCAGCTTCCACATGCTGTTTTGGTTGGTGTTTGTAGAGTTTCCTGCTCCGTGCTTGATTTGGGTGCACTTTTTGTAACCTTTACTTACCCTCTACCTTGGCACCTGTGAACAAGAAGAGTGATTCCTGATCCAGCCAAGAGACGAAGACGTGTGTATTCTCTGGTTAAATGTTCTGATGCTCCCGACAAGGAAAAGCATACGCTTGGCAACACACCTCTAGCATGTTACCACTTCCTTCCACTCCACCTCTCTAATCACCCCCACCTTTCTCACTCCATAATTAAAAATTTATGTAACATAAAGTGGAAGGAATACAACATGTTCAATGATGCTTACACTCAATTTTGTGGGTAGACATCAGCTGTTCAGTTGTGTCCGGCAGTCCTGCAGCCAGTGTTACCAAACAAACCGACTGACATATCATCTCCTCACCACTTACCCTCTCCACCACTACCTCTATTATCACCACCTAAATCATAATTTCACTGATAGATTTGCTTTAGCCAGAGCAGATTAGCACGACATCCACTCCCTCCCTCCCACCCACTGCATCTCACCAACATTCTGCTTCTTACTCATTCTACTAAGACTGTCATTCATGATACAATATTGTACAGTATTGTACATTTTTATTTGTTATTCATTAATAAGTAAAGATATGATACTAGTATTATATCTTTTAGTGGACACTCGCAACAAAAAGTATCGGTGCATACTGTAATGTGAACAATTTGAGACCAGTGACGATAGGTATTGGGAAAGGCGAGTTGTTCCAGCCGTATGTTGGCAGCCCTGTAATCCTGCTGACAGCTACTATGGCCTGGTCAAGTGAAACAAACCGTTATAAATAAGGTCGGGAAGTGATAAATAGACAGTATGAAATATGAGGAGCTCCCTGTTAACAAAATTATTCGTGATACTTGTGAATATTGCCACATTAATTTATGCTACCAAATAAACCACTCAACCTGGTCGTCCTGAGGGGTGGTGCAGCATGAACGGCCGCTCCGAGACCTGTCGTCTGTAGCACCAGTTTCGAGGTATCGCCGGATCCATCGTGCAGCGATGTTCCTGTGGACTGGCTAATATCTGTGACGTCGAACCCTTCGTTATGAAGGGCAATACTAGCTCCTCGTGTTCCCTCTGAGATTTCCATGTCGTCTGGCATGTGTAGATCTCTACCGCTTCATATTGCCTCTGTTTTATACCCACGTTCACCGAGACCGAACCCTCGCTCATCATTCAGTCGACACAAAGCAAGAATCCAAAAAGAGGAAACAAGCACACTGATTGTCAGCCATATGGCAACACCTAGTGGCGGTTATGAGGATACACTTACCAACCTTCCCGACATATCACAGTGCATACGTATCGTTTCGGAAGTCGTCGATCACACCCTGCACCGATACTTTTTGGTGCGAGTGTACCTACACCTTTTTGGGGGTATATTTTGGTCAGTTAGGAGACAAATCTTTGGGATTGTGGGATGAATCTGAATTTTCCCAAATTCGTTTTGTTACAATATGTACCGTTTTGCTTATCACGGTAGTTTTTTGGAACCTAACCCCTGCGATTATTGAGGATACATGTACAGTACTTGTTTTTTCATCATTGCCAAGTGCTTGAGCCATTATGTCTGATAACCCAAAATCTGGTACAGTAATGTACTTAAAAAAAATTTAATTTTGACTGGGGCAGATAATGGAAAAATGCTGTTGTTTTGTTTGTTTTCCCTTGGGAGAAGGGGTCCCTTTTATATCATAAAATTCCATAATTTGTAAGGGCTAGAGCCCCTATTATTTCAAATTATGGGTTTTTTCTGTACTAGAAATTGCTTTACGATCTACTGGTAGATCGCAATCGAAGTTTTGGGCCCCCCCCTGTACTATACTGTACATTCAGTAAGTGGGAAACACTGGAGCACCTTAGCTTTCGTCTTTATTCCAGACATCTTCAGGTCATGAGGTCCACTAATCCCCCACCCTGACAATGGGTGACTTGACATTGCATCAGGTCAGGTAAGCAACATGACCCAGTAATACCCTACCCCAGCTCCATTTAGTCTAGGAGCAGAGGTCATAAAAATGGGGGGGGTACCCGGGTCAATGGGGTAACATTTGTCTGTATGGCTAAAACCATACTTTGGGGGGTGGAGACCATGAAACCATGTGATGCCATTGTCAAAAAATGCATGCGAGTTGCATATGATGCCATTTTCCAAAATGGCCGAAGTTCCATCCTAACTCAGTATCTCTGGAACTATGTGACTTACGGTGATAATTATGGTGTTAAACTATATGTTTTTGGAGTTAAGGAATCTGATAAGATATGCTGAGACAATATTTATAAATATGAAACAAGATACTGTATTGAAATGACTGAGTCAAGTTGCTGAATTTTTAATGCCAGTATTTTACATCTTATAAATCATAGGACATATAAATCCCCATTGATTATAAGCGATGCTTAACAACTGTATTCAAAGAATCATTAGGAAACCAGGACAATTGGGAAGCGTTATGTTATTTTTATTCAGAATGGCAAAAAAAAAAAATTATGCAATATTGCATTGAGAAAATACAAAAAAATAACCATTGTGTGCAATTTGAGATTATGTTAGCAACATATAATTACAAAAACTGTTTATAAGGAATATAACAATTTGGTCATAAATAAATATAAAAATTGGTGCTTATATCTAATAAACAGAAGTTAGAAAGAATCTTTATCATTGTAACTCTATAAATGAAAAATGACACAAATGACAATCAATTGTTCACTCAAAAATAACTTTTTGCTCAAACCTCAGAGTGCGATGCCTAGCATTTAACCTAGGTATGTTAATGCCTAGCAATAACTCGCCAGGCCAACATACAGGCAATTAA